GCTTGAGCAGCAAGTTCTCCTTCAAAAGTGCCTCCAACAGCTTCTCCAAAACGCACCAGACCTACGGTGAGTGAAGCACAGGGCAGAGGCTGGCACCCAGGCACGGTGCAACCTCTGCAGCCCTTCTCCATCATTCCATTCCTCAGTTTCCCCACTGAGGGACTTTAGGCTCTCAGCAGAGACAGGACGTTTAAGAGTCCCCTGTGAGGAGATAACTCTAACCTTGCTTTCAGTTGCAGTCCTTGCTCCTGCCCTTGGCGGGTCTTCCCCAAAGTGAGACATGGACGGGTTCTCATCACATGGATGGTTTCTCCTCTCACACAGCTGGCAGCCCATGTGGAGTCATTGTGAGGGGGTGCCCTCCATCTCCCTTCCCCATGAGCAGCCTCCCCAGGGACACCAAGAGGGCGTTGGGGCACTGGGGCAATGCCCACACCAAGGTTGTGAGATCAAGGAGACCTGTGGCACAACCTTCCCTACCTCCATACAGATGCTCTAACCCTGTCCCTAGCTGTGCGACCTCTCCCATCTCCATGTGCTCCTCAAGGGACTCCATCCCCTTCTTCCCCGTTGTGCCCACATCCCTCCCTGCTGGTCAGGGTCCAGGAGGGACCTTTGGGAAGGACGGGAAGGGATAGCTCTTCTCTGGCCTCACAGCACTAGGCTGTGGCTCAGCTTTTCCCCAGGGAGGGAGGTGTGGAGCAGATGATCTCGGGGGGATGGGATCCAGGGGTCCTGCAGCAGTCGGGGGGATGGCTGGGCTCAGAGAGAAAGGCAGGCTGAGGCAATGCTGCCATCTCCTGGTCCTACCTGCCTGGATCAGCCCCCACCAGCATCCTACCAAGCCCAGAGCCCACCTGAAGACCCTCTGCTGTAACTCGGGGCTTTGGAGATGTCCACGTAGACACCGGCTTGTCCTTTAGAGGCCAGCTCCAATGATACGGGAGTGTGCCATTTCGGTGTCAGTGTCCCTTGTCCCCCACAGAGGTAAGGCAAGCTTCCTCCCACCTCGCCATCCCCCATCTCACCAGCCATCCCTTCTGCATTGCAGGGCTGGAGTCCGGGTTTTGCACCATCCCTCGCGTCCCTCGCTTGGAAAAGGCCCAAGAGAGCTCCTACCCTGGGGAAACAGAGCTGACGCGCTCAGACTCCCTGCTCTCCTTCCGCCTGGACCTGGGGCCCTCCCTCATGAGCGAGCTCCTCCAGGTCATGAGCTTCTCCGAAACCAACGGGAGTGAGGTGGGGGAGAACAGCCCAGACCTCCTGTGCAGTGAGGGGACCAGGGATGGTGTCCCCCCATCCTCCACACTGGGAGAGGACAAGGCAATGTCCAGCTTCTGGGACCGCTCTGGGCAGAGCAGCCTGTCGCGGGCCAGCTCGCTGCCGGGACTGTCAGTCCATGCCAACGGAGAGGCACACACCATCGAGGGCACCAGAGAGGACCCTGCCTGGGCCTCAGGGCTGGGGACATCACCCAGAGGGACACCGTGGCAGGGCCATTGGAACGACTGCACCATCGAGGCAGGAGAGTTTGACCGGGCAACACAGGTCCTGGCCCGTCACTATGGTGGGACCAGCACCCCACGGAGCTCGGAGACAGGTGAGGGTCCCCGGCAGGCCCGGACGCAGACCCTATGGGAGAGCCCCGTCAGAGGGAACGGGGGGGAGCCGATCCCCTGAGGTCACCTGGAACCAAGGAGATGAGGATGAGGAGGATGAGGAAGAGGCCACGTTCTCCAGCCTGCAGGAGGGGTACGCTGGTGCCCGGGGGGGGCGCAGCAACTCCTTCGAGTACGCTGATGAGGAGGAGGACGATGAAGTCAAGGTGTGAACTGCCATCACAGCCCCCCACCAGAAGCACTGGTGCTGGGGTCTTCACTCTCCTCCCTGTTCCCCACCCACAGGCATCAGCATCACCAGCAGACCCAGCAGGCAACCTCCTAGCCAAGCTGTGGTTGCTGGAGGGGGGCAGGAGAAGAGCCCATCTCCTGGAGGGCTCCCTGGAGTTGGGCCAGGCTGCTGCAGGGGGCTGGTGAGGGCTGTGCATTGCAGCACCAGGCACTGTGGCCCTTAGACTGCCATTAGACACCAAAGGCACATTCCAATGTGCCAAAGAAACCCCAAACCTCTTCCTACCCCATCCAGTTCCCCCTAGCACCCTCTCTCCCATCCCTCAGCCTGGCCCTGGCAGCATGTCTGGGGATGTGCTCCGTTCTCCCACCAAAGCCTACAACTGCCCTCTGCACTGGCACCAGTGCCCTTGCAGAGATTGTCCCACTGATAGCTCTGGGACATAGGGGATGGGGGTCTCCCCAGCTCCAGCTGGTGCAAGACCTTCCATATAGCACATCTATCTACCAGGGGAGGTCAGCTGAGGGCTCAAGGCTAACCCCAAAGAGCTGAGCTAAAGACCTGAGCTTTTTCTTCTTCCCTCCCCCCCCTCCACCAATAAAGCTGTGAGCTCAGTGTTCAGGAGGCGAGTGCACTCACAGAGATAACCAAAAGGGTCTTTCCACTTGCCTCCTGCTGCCAATCATCACTTATGACAGCTCCTTTTCTGACCTCCACCAGGGAGAGGAGAAACTTCCTGCCTGGCTGGAGGCAGAGGCAAGGTGAGCTTTTTCTTCTTCCCTCCCCCCCCTCCACCAATAAAGCTGTGAGCTCAGTGTTCAGGAGGCGAGTGCACTCACAGAGATAACCAAAAGGGTCTTTCCACTTGCCTCCTGCTGCCAATCATCACTTATGACAGCTCCTTTTCTGACCTCCACCAGGGAGAGGAGAAACTTCCTGCCTGGCTGGAGGCAGAGGCAAGGTTGTCAGGTCACCACACTCTGCAGTTCAGGCCCTAAGAACCCATTCCATTCCCCCCACCTCAGAACAAGGAGACTCCCACTCTGCAGCCGCTTGGTCTGTGCCACCCCTTCCCCATCCTTGCCTCATCTCCCCATTCCCCACACATATATCCCTCTTTCCAGGGCACCCCTTCCCAGGGGTACACATGGAGGATGGCTAATGCCACTTGCCAAGCAATGTGGCTGCCCTGGAACGAGCTGCCCCCCACGCTGCCCCAGTGCAAACTGGCCCGCACAGAAGCGCCTTTGTGCCATGGCATGGAGCCGAGATGCTCGGGGGCTGAGGTCACCGGAGGGACCCTCACAGGATGCCCCTTGTTCTCGGGGACAGAAGGAGGGAGATGCTGGGCCATGGCGCAAGGCTCACCCACCGCCCGGCTGCTCCTGGCAGGGAGCTCTGCAGAGCAGAATAAAGAGCTCTGGTGTGCACGTGTGTTCCAAGTGGAAGTGCTGTTTGCAGTCTGGCCATCAAAGCTATGGGCAAGCCAGGGCAGGCAGCAGCTTCAGGGAGTCCCCAGCTCTGGCCATGGCACCCAGCAGGATCAGCCTTATCACCCCTGCACCCTCTGGCTCTCAGGATAAGTTCCCCCACACCCTCTGCTTCCCAGACCGTAACACAAGCTCCAGTCCAAAGACCCATATCTGTGGAATATCCTTTCTGCCTCCACTCTGTATCCCATGCACTTATTGTCCTTATTAAAACACTTTTGATACTAACTTCTCCTCTGGTGCCTCCCCTCAGCTACAGCGACCTTATCTTCCTTGCCACGTCTGATGGCGTCCCAGACACAAAATCCCATCCTCTCTGCTCTCAGCAGGATTTGTCAGCACCTCTGGGATCCCTGGATTACCTAGCCTGGTACTTTGCCACTCGCCATGGCTAACACACAAAGTAACCTCCTATTCACCCAGACCCGCATAGCACACAGGAGGCCGCAAAGCTTCCTCTCCAGCCCGGCAACAGTTCATTTGCAGCCTGAAACAGATCAGTACCCTTCCCAAAGCTGGCTTGGCTACAGCACTTCCAGCCCATCAGACATCCTGATGCACTCGGGCAGCAGCAAATCCCATGAGCTGGGCAACAAGGAAGTGGAGAAGTAGGGCAGGGGCACTGCCACCTTGCCTTGGAGACAGCTATCTGTAAGATGTTTTTCTACTTTTACTGTCCTCCCATCCTGCCTGAAGTGCCCTGATGTTTGCTGTCACACATCTGTCTCATTTAAGGCTGGTGAAACACTTCACTAACTAGAGTAGCAGCATCTGGTAACTGACATTAATTGCCTGTAGTCCAGTGCAAGGGACACAGACTGGGAGGTGCTGAGCCACGTAACCCAGCCCAAACCCTGTCCTCCCTCCCCACTGCCTTCCCCTGCCTCACTTTCTCTGAATAGGGTTCCATGGGGAAATATCAGAGTAATGGGTAACCAGGCTGGAATGTGCCAGCAGATAAGTGAGGTGAGATAAGAGGGAAAGTTGGAAGAGACAATTCCTTATCAATAACAGGAATGCTGGTTCAGGGGCACACCTGCGCTGCCTTCACCATGCCACCCCTTCACATGGTACCGCTTCTGTGGGAGGGCAAAGCACCTCTTCCTCCTGCCCAGAGGAACCTGTTAAACCCATGCCCTGAGGTTCCCAAAGCTAACATTTACCTAGGTGCTCTTGTGGCACCAAATGCCACATGAAATGCCACATCTCTCACTTTTCTTCCTCTTCCTCCTTCCCTCCCTCCCAAAAACTCAGGTGCATAAAGAAACGGTGCATTGTGAAGAGAGTGCACAACCACTCCCTGAGCAGTAACATAGATTCCTCCTCTCCCTGAACCCCATCTATAGCTTGCTTTGCCCTACCTACTATCCATTCAACCCCACATTCTGGTCTGACCTGGAAAAGCACCTGGCTGGGAGCTGTTCCAATCCGACAACGAAAAACCTTGGGCTTTGTGGTGTCTCACACAGAGCCACAGAGACAGGGATGTCACAGAAGCTAATGTGCTGGAGCAAGCAGTCTCCCACTGCTTGGTTTTTATTAGAGCTAGGAAGTAGCACCCATCAGTCCAACTTGAAGGAGGTGACCCTGAAGCCTCCCTTGACACTCATGTAGCTGATCTTGCTGTAGCAGTGTCGGTTGGGGAAGTGCACTTCATGCCCATCTGGTAGTTTCACTTGGAATTTGTCTTCCAGCATTTCAATAGTCATCTGGGAAAAGAAAGGGGAGGAAGGGCAGCAACTGGGGACAAGGGGGAAATTAGGAGCATCCTGGCGATAGGCCCGTTACATGTGAGGGGCAGATCTGGTTCCTATAGCCTTAAACAAGGTGTGGAGGCTTGAGCTGTGGGGGATGCAGGAAATGAGCAGTTAACATCAAGGGTCTGAGCTGGTATCTAAACTATGACCTGGGGCAAGGATCTCTCCTGGGCTGTTTCATCTACTTAGACTGTAAACTCAGAGCAGTTGAGCCTAAGTGTGTCTTTATACACCATATGGCTTAGACCTGCTCTGAACAGGGCAGAATAAACCTGACATCCCAATGCCCTCAGCAGCTCACTGGGGCCTGGAAAAAGAAGCTTCACTGATAAACACACACAAGCAGATAGGATGAGAACACATTGCTCATCATTGCAAATTAATGTGGCCAATGGCTGTGGTCAATGGGATGAGATTCAACAAGGCTCAGGGCCAGGTCCTGCATTTGAGCCACAACAACCCCCTGCAACGCTCCAGGCTTGGGGTAGAGTGGCTGGAAAGCTGCTCATGAAAAAGGACGTGGGGTGCTCATGGACGGAGCTGAATATGAGCAGTTTGTGCCCAGGCAGCCAAGAAGGACAATGGCATCCTGGCCTGTATCAGCAATAGTGTGGCCAGCAGGGCCAGGGCAGTGATTATCCCCCTGTACTGGCACTGGTGAGGCTGCACCTCGAATCCTGTGTTCAGTTCTGGGCCCCTCACTACAAGAGAGACATTGAGGTGCTGGAGCGGGTCCACAAAAGGGCAACGGAGCTGGTGAAGGGTCTGGAGCACAAATGTGATGAGGAACTAGGGGTGTTAAGTCTGGAGAAGAAAAAGCTCAGAGGGACCTTATTGTTCTACAACTGCCTGAAAGGAGGATGGAGTGAGGTGGGGTCAGTCTCTTCTCCCAAGTAACAATTGACAGGACAAGAGAAAACGGCCTCAAGCTGCACCAGGGAAGGTTTAGACTGGATATTAGGAACAATTTCTTCACAGAGAGGGCTCTCAGGCATTGGAACAGGCTGCCTGGGGCAGTGGTGGAATCACTGTCCCTGGAAGTGTTCAAAAACCATGTAGACAAGGCCCTCAGTAATATGATTTAGTGCTGGACTTAGCAGTGCTGGGGTAAAGGCGGATGATCTTAAAGGTCTTTTCCAACCTAGTTGATTCTACAGTTCTAAAGGGATTGTTCCCCAAAGCTGTTACCTTGACACTCCTTCCCCAAGAGCCAGCCATGACTGAGGAAACAAGCTTCCTCTGCACAGCAATAGGAACAGGACTGCTCCTAAATGCAGCATTCTTCATGCCTGGGGACATCAGATGGGGTGAGACAACAACTAGAACAGCATCCCAGCAGGAGGGGAGAGCACAGATTGGTAGCATGGATCCAGAAGTAGAAGAGCTGAGGGAGAGGTTTTTGGACATTGCTCCAAATTCTGGGTTGCATTAAAGCCCAAGTTTGCATAGGACAGAATCAGGAAGAGAAATAAAGCAAGAGAATAAAGAGAGCAGCAAGATCCTGCTTCTTGGAGACTCCCTTCACAACTTCATACATGCTCCTGGTGCACTCACCTGCTGAGCAGGTACAAGGGCATCCAGGCAGCACTTAAGAAGCCTGAGAAGACAGGGCTCACATGAAGTTCCCAGAGGAAGCATTGGGGTTTTAAAGGAGGAGTGGAAATAGCAATCTGGATCAAAATCCCAGAGAATAAGGGACTGCTGGGAGGGCACAGGAGGCACTGGATGAGACTAGGAGCTCTAGGGTAAGGGAATCTGCTAACCAGGGGCTTCCCCGCACCACCCCACAACCCCATGCCAACACAGATCCCTCACCTTGATAGAGGAGCCCCTGGAGAAACAGAGGTGGTTATCACGATGCTCTGCCTCCCAGGCATTAGAGCACCTGGAGTTGCAGACGATGACAGACTCATTGAACCGGGGATTGAAGTGAAATGCCAGATCCGAGGACTTGCTGCCAAGATTGATGCTGAACCTGTGGGAGAACAGGAAGAAGGTCAGCTACACAGGCAGGACAGGGTCTTGGAAGACCCGACATCCAACACATGGCTCTGAATTTAATTCCTCCATCAGCATTGCAGGTGCTTAATGCCTCCTGTTTGTTCACTTTGCTCAGGAACTGCAGGAGTTTGCACAGTAGTGGCTTAGGGGCTTCCCTAAGATCGAGCTGCTTGTACCTGGCAACCTTGGAAAACCACCTCCCTCTACAGCCCACCTTCAGTCCTGGCAAGTCGAGGTGGTTTCTTTGTACTTACTCATCAGCATCATTGGATATCTTGCCCTTGATCTTCAGGCTATCCCCAGTCTTCAAACCCAGGTTGAAGATTTCAAATTTCTCCTAAGGTAGAGACAAAAATTGTCTGCGGGGCTCCTTCAGCTATTCCTCCCCTGCCACTGCAAGTGAGAGAGTGCCCCAGCCAGGAGAACATCTACTGCTCTCAGCAGGAGTGCCTCTCATGGCCAAAACCCCCCCATGCTGGAGATCTTCCATGAGCTTCTTATTCAGTGGTGGAAGAGTAGGCTGAGTGAAGCCAGCAAGCATGAAAAGACATCAGAGAGAGAGGAGATGAAAACAGGCT